TGGGGGTGAAAGGGAAATATTGATATCTAATTCTTTATTGCCATCAAGATCAGGAGGATCTGCCCCGGGATCTGCTAACGTTAAGTCATTATTGAAATTCTCAGAAGCTACCATGAGTGGTGTGGCGTGTATATTCACATTATTGCGAGCATTATTGTCAGCTTGGAAATTATTACTTAAGTAAACATCAGAAGAAACATTATTTTCTTGATTATTATTAGTTCCACATATATTTTCCAAACTCATATCACTATGCAATTTTGCTTTTCTATATTTTGATCTGGAAAGTTTAGGCATTTTATTTGAAAAGTGAGTTGAAAAGTCAAGTAATCATCTAAATACTGTTTCACTGCTATCTATAAATCTATAATCTCATCAAATAACAGTGTTTTCCAACCTAAAAACAAAAAAGATCTATATCAGAAAATAGGTAGTACCTATGAATAATTTTAATTTTCTCACTAATTATGTATTCACCAAAATAAAAGTTAGAACAGTACCCAAATCTATAGACAGCTCGACTGTAATTTTTTTTTTTTCAAAAAAACTATTAGATTGATATTTGAGGTTGTATCAAGGTATAACTTAGGTCTCATCTATAAATATACCTACTCTTCATCTAGCAAATAAGTAAATTATAAAACGGGCTACGACCAAAAAAATTTGCCTTTTTTTTTAGATGAAATATTCATAGCAAAAAATCATAAATCATAAATAATGAACCAAAAATATTTTCATGTTTTGATAATAATTTATTGACGCCATATTGACTGGGTTTCAAAATTTATTGACACATTATGGTTAGATTTTACGATTTCTTTCTAATTTTGTGATAAGCAGAAATAATTAGGTAGGTATATCTATTAATTTCTTACCTGATGGGTGATTGATCCAACAACATCCAACACTGCAACACGACAAAACTTTTGCGAAAAAAATAAATAAAACGATAGCGTCCTGCTCCCCGGGGTCACTGGTTTCAATGGAAATGGTGGCGTTGTGTTGTGTGCGGTGACTATGTACTACAACACTACACCTACAGATTAATTACTAGAGGAACGTTCTTCAAACGATAATTCTGATTTTCTGAAAGGCGGAAACGAACAACTACCTGTTTTTTGGCAATTTTTAAAGTAGAATAATTCCGTTGTTGCGTACGAATACAGCGGTAGAGTGTATCGTTCAAGCAGGCAGCAGCATGAAGGAGTAATGGCTGCTGCTGGAGTGCTGGCTGGCCGCGCAGATGGCGAAACGCAAGATGCCGCGCCCTGATTGGCTGGCGCTCGCTCACGTTAACTTCTATCCCTTTTAATTGGGTGACTCCGTAGCGCTCCTATCGACTGTACCACTGTACTATCGACTAATTTCTTAGACAGAATTTCACAAATGGACCACTAATACCTACCTACCACAACTTATTAATAAATTAAATATTTGAAAATTCATTTTTGATTGTATATAAGTACTTCACTAAATAGTTATCCACTAGAAAGTCATTGGACATCCCAGGAGTTTATGCCATGCATGCATCACAAAATTATTTCGATTTATAGGTTCATTTATGGACACTGAATGGATTTCCAATGGATATCCATTCCTGGCAGTTCAGTAATTGTCCAAAAAAAAAGTCCACTGGATGTCCATTTCAAGACCATGATATTTATTTACATTTGTGGACATTAAATGGAATTCCAATGGATATCCGTTCCTTTCTGTCCATTTAATGTCTAAAAAATATAGTCCAATGGATGTCCAGTTTGTGACCATGATTTTTATATACATTTGTGGACGATAAATGGATTTCCAGAGGATATCCGTTTCTTGTGGTTCAGTTTTTGTCCAGAAAATATAGTCCATTAGATGTCCAGTTTATGACCACGATTTTTAGAAACATTTGTGGACACTTAATGGATTTCCATTGGATATCCGTTTCTGGCTGTTATCAGTTATTGTCCAAAAAATATAGTCCATTGGATGTCCATTTAATGTCCCTGGACATCTGTACATATTTTGTACCTAAAATGGATATCCATCGGATGTTGGGTGTTATCTGGGTATCATCATCATGGGTTAAGCGTTTAGAAGGAGGCTTATAAACACTGAATAAACTAAGAGAGCTTCCTGCAAGGTGGACTACCACACCAGTGTATTCCAGATTGTCAGAGGCAGGATTGGCAATAGTGTCACGAGGAATGTTGTTTTTAACGAAAATTGCAGTATTACCACCACGGTTAGGTCTGTCATTTCTATACATATAGTGTACTTTTATAAGTTGTAAATTGTGTGCGGTCTGAGCATAGTCTCCTGGACTAATGCTACGTCAACATTATCCTCGTGTTGGAAGGATGCAAATTCGTATATTTTGGGAAAGATGGAGTTTGCATTCCAAGAGATTATGTATAGTCTCGTCGGTTTAGGTGTGTCACCCATTAGGTCATATTAAGTTGGGTCAAAAGTTTGAGGGCGGGATGATTATAAACCATCGCCTCCAGTTTGTCCAGTTTATTGAGCTCTTGCTCTGAAAGAGTCAAGAAACTCAAAATGTTGGTAGAATTTGTCTGCTTCGGTGGTATAATAGTAGTTGTGTTGTTTGTTTTCATTTTTTGAGTGTAACTTATGTTGAGAGTTGTTGCTTTGAACAAGGCTGCTGTGTCCCTTGGAGGAGAAGAGTTTTGGGCCGGTATTGGTTTGGATGTAGCTGAGTGGATATTTTTGTTGGGACACTTTGGACAATTCGAATAATTATTGGCCGGATGTGCACCGCCACAGTGGCCGGATGTGCACCGCCACAGTGTACACATGTGCAGGGGGAAGTCTTGCCTTTTTTTACAATTTTTGTAAAAAATGACTACTAGCACATCGGTGACAACGGGGCTTTGCATAGCAATTTGACAAGGTATGCCCAAATTGCTGGAAGTTGTGGTATTGAGGTACATGCTTCATTGCTTGCTGCATATTACATACTTCTTGTCTTGCTATGCTGAGCCTCAATTGTTACGGGCATGTAGCTTGATTTCGTGAAATTGGTCAATTTCTTCAGGGGGGATCAGGAATTTTATCAGAGAAGACCCTTTGAGGTTGCTTCTCTGAAAAGGCTCGAATCTTTGGAGTTCTCTTGGGAAGAAACCCAAGATTCTCCTGGACTTCCCCTAGGTCTTGGTTTCTGTCCAGTCCCTTGATAACCACATTAATCATTTTTTCGTCGCGTAGGAAATAGGAATGAAATTCAATATTCTGGGAACGTAAAAATTTTGTAATTCCTCGAGTTTCATCAGGTGTATCTGGGTTAATAGAGATAGTCTGTCTTTTGTTTTTTTTTTTTGATTATTGGAGAAAAGTTTTATGTCTGTCAATTTTTGGTCTTTGTACAGGGTGTTTTTTTATGTATCGACACCCCACCTACAGCCAGGTAGGTATAGGTGGAAGAAAGATGTAAATTTAAAAGTTGTACAGTTTTGGGTTTTTAAGAATCCAGGGTCAGAAACAAAAATTGAATGTCAGAAATGTGAAATGGGATGCCCTCTATTTGGTTTTATATTCTTGAAGAGCACAATTTCCCGATTCCAAAATAGCTATTTTCCGAGTGCAGGAAATTTCTTCCCGCAAGAGTTAGGAACTATATTTTTTCTACGAGCATACTAAAGCTGATGTTACGAAGAGTTTAATTTAAATAAAATGCGATTATGCAGAAGGTAGAATTAAAAATGTATTAAATAGTAGATTATACCACGAGTCAATAATGATAGCTATTATTCCCGAGGATTATTACGAACTGAGCCGCGTTAGCGGCGAGGGAGTAACATTCCGAGGGAATAATAGCCATTATTGCGAGTAGTATACTCTACTTTATTTACGACAAATTAATTTATTTGAGATTTTCAATGAACAAATTTCATCCGTCTCATAATTTTCAATACAAATCCACAAGCACTACACGTTTGACACTGACACTTTTGTGGAATAATGACCATTAATCCCGCTACTCGTCATTAATCCCTGGAGGAATAACATATGTCATTATACTGCCAAAATCACAAATACAATACGCACATTATACATTAGTCGTAAATAAAGGTATTTTATTTACGACTAATGTATAATGTGCGTATTATATTTGTGATTTTGGCAGTATAATGACATATGTTATTCCTCCAGGGATTAATGACGAGTAGCGGGATTAATGGTCATTATTCCACAAAAGTGTCAGTGTCAAACGTGTAGTGCTTGTGGATTTGTATTGAAAATTATGAGACGGATGAAATTTGTTCATTGAAAATCTCAAATAAATTAATTTGTCGTAAATAAAGTAGAGTATACTACTCGCAATAATGGCTATTATTCCCTCGGAATGTTACTCCCTCGCCGCTAACGCGGCTCAGTTCGTAATAATCCTCGGGAATAATAGCTATCATTATTGACTCGTGGTATAATCTACTATATAAAAAGGTATTTATAAAAAGGTACAGGTACATGTATAGGTGTATCAACAATACAAACAATTCCATGTCACAATGATTATTTCAAACTCTTCCCGCACAGCAAATCGTGCGGGAAGAGCCATTTCCCGCATGCTCGTAGAAAAAATTGATTTTAAATGTCCCAATCAGAATACGATAGAATCAGAGGATAAACCAGTGCTTCTATTGTATTATTATTGTAAAAATAAGAAATCTAGAAACAATGTAAAGGTGGACATGAAATTGAAACCCCTTAAAAATCAACCCCGATTTCCTCAGACTTAAGGAGGAAGGAATTATATGGCCATCTCCAATGATTCAGTATATTTGTAATAACATTAGTCATATGTTAGCTCAGCATTTGATCTTTTATATAAAAAAGAGCAAGGCAATAATAGGTTAGTTCTTTAGTTCGCTTTACTAGGTTCACACCTTATGTATTAGGTAATAAAGTTTTTTTTTTACAACCCAAGTTGCCTAATTTAAAACATAACATATGGATTTGCATCTCTTTTCTAAAGGCAACCTAATAAAACAACACAATAATAAAATTTAGTTTTTATTAACAGTTAAATAAATAATACAAAAGCAATACATAGAGAAAGACACGTTCAAAAAACATCTTACACTGGCGATTGTAAGACATCTCCAAACGCATCTAGTTTGGTAATCACACTTTCGAACTTTTGCTAGAACTGCACTAGCAACAAAATTATGAAATAATATTACATAGTGAATAATATTGTGAAGCGTTGGTTAGACAAAAAAAAATTAGTAAACATTCAAATAAAAGATCAACTTAAAAAAATGGTCCCATCCTATTGATTGACAATAATATAATACAAGTAAAAAGTTTTGGTAAAAAGAACAAAATCGAATAACTAAAGCATAAAAACTCTTAAATAAAAATATAAATAATTCGATCTTGATTTATAATAATAATAATATATGGCAACTAATTTATACAAAAACAAAATTATTACATTCCTCGATTTTCTCCTAATATTTTTTCATTTCATACCTAAATTCACTAAACTTTTCCATCAAATTATCATCAATTCACAATAAATAAAGCGTCTCCGATTGGCAAAACTGGCGATTTTTGCCAACCAAAAAGGCATCACTCTTTGGAACCCTAAATAAATTAACAAGTTTTTTTTTTTATACAAAAATATGAACAAACCTTTTTTTTTAGAAATACAAAGCTAACTTATGTCAGTCATTTTAAGTTTTGAAATAAGTTAAGGAAACCTAAACTAAAATAAAATAAATTTTAAATTCTACACTTAATTTTATAACCTAAAAGGCTCTCGGTCTTCGATGGTTGATTTCTTTTTACGAGCCTGTCCCGTTGGTGTTTCGGATGCTCCCGAATTTTTTCGTAATAAGCGGGATACTGCTGTCTGCTGATCGGGATGTACGGGAGTATTAGAACCAGAAGGTGTTCGTGTCCTAAATAATTATTAAATAATTAGTACTGATATAAATACGATCTTAGCTGCTTCACACTTAAAAGTACTTCCAGACATTTCAATTATTATTATTATTGAAATGGTGAAAGTAAGCAGGTCGTCCTAGATTGATTTTAAAATATCGAACATTAGGTTTAATTAAATTTGTTAAAAAAAGCCAGTTTATTAGATTGGTTAATTTACCTAGATGCGGTCCTTAAAGTTGGGGCAACGCCAATAGTCACATTCCTAACTTTGTTTGAACTTGCACTCCTGTGGGGTTAAAAAGGCACAAAACATGCCAGGAGTTAGTCAAATTATTGGTTAAAAAAACTAAACAGAATGACATTCTTATTAATTACTTGCCTCTGGCAGGCAAAAATGCATGCTACAGCAATGACCTATTAACACAGATAGACAGAACATTGATAAAATAGCTTTGTTTTGGTTGACTACATGTTTATGGGCCAGGGGGGGTGAGCTGTGAGAGCGGCTAGGAGTAGGGATTCAAATGATTCCACTAACTCCGCCCCCATTTTACTATGGCATACTTGGCAACTTTGAAAATGAAACCAGAATTAGTGCTACTAAAGTGTATCTTTATCCTTATATTTTACATAATTTTAGAAAAAGATGCGGCTACACTCACTGCGCACTGATTGACAAATGGAAATTCTCATAAAATACCTGCAGGTCGCATTTTGACATGACAATTGAATATAAGCCGCTGATTGGTGGAAAGGTAGAATTCGAGGTGGGATTTATTTTTTTGCAGCGTTGCTAATTTTCATTGAAAAATAATCGCTTTCCACGTGTTAGAGAAAGATACAAAATAACACAAGGATTAATAAGTAGTGGGGAGAGATGCGGTTCCTGGCATGTAGTCAACCGATATTATTGTTTATTGTTCTGTCTATCTGTGTTAATAGGTCATTGTGCTACAGCCATAGGTGAGCGATTTCCTAGAAAGGTGACTAATTTAATGACTAATTGATAAAGCGGAACGATAAATTTGGTAGGTAGGTACTAAAACATTTTATATGTAGTAGGTACCTACTACCGGTTTTTTTTCAGATTAGTGAGATTTTATTTTTTTCGAATGGATAACAAGATGGCATAGGACCACTTTTGTAAAGTCTGATGAGTTAATTCTTGAAACCGGTTAGCCAAGCAGATAACAATTTATCTATTTTCTTTGCTTTCATCAAGTTGGCAGGTATATTAACATTTTAATTGGTAAAATATTTATGATCGCTGTGCTTACATTAAAATTATTCAATGATATTAAAACAGATTGACTGACGCAACTGATTCCTGGGTGGACCAAAAAAAATCGCTCACCTAGTTATAGATTATTTAAAATACAGCCAAAACTAATGCATATCTAGATTAAAATTTTGCTGAAAAATTTCTAAAACATTCAGTGTATTGTTATTGAAAAACATTTTTCAAGTAACTTTTGGCATGCACAAAATTCCTGAAAACTTTGACGCATGCATTTAACAGTGGATATCTTAATAATAATTAAAACAAATACTTCTCGACACAACAAAAATACAAAATGCATAGAAAGGAAAATGGACAAAAGTATCATGCAACACAAAAAAAAATACGCGATATATTATGGTTACCTCTTAAGCAGAGGTATTTTTGATTTGCCAGCCATAGATTTGCTGCTGATTTGTTAGTAAGAAGAAAACGATATTAGTTAAAAAAAGACTCATAACAACACAAGCAATAAGTTATCTTCGGTTTTTTCTTTGAGTTTAAAATCACATAAAGACGTCAAATACAAAGATGCATGCACTAAAAGACAATTACCCAGAAGAAAAAGACACAGAACAGGAACTGGATGTAGAGGGTGATTCTGGTTCGTCCTTACTGTTTCCACGATATATCGGTATGCGAGACCTTACAATACCAACCAAAGTATTATGGTATGATTTTTATAATTAGTATTATCTACATTTTAACTAACAAGTCTATCAAAATTTTAAAAAATGGATTTATTCAAAACACTTCTTGAATATTATTTTGGTACCTAAAGTACAGCCATCGTTTTATATGGGTAACTTTCAACAAAATAGAGACAAGCTGGAATTTGGTAAGCGACTTTGTTTTAGGGTACTAAATACCTTCTGAAACCCCAGCACCGAAGCGTTGAGCCCGTCACCCCAAAACCACACAAGTGGGGTGAAATCTATCTTTTTTAAAATTTTTCTTGATTGTAACTCCAAAACTAAGCATTTTAGGGAAAAATGTCAAAAAAGGAAAATTGTAGAAAAGAAAATTTCCTACCAAATAGATATACGCCAGTTTTTTTCAGATGTTCGGTGGCGTAGATATTAGGTATTTAATTAAACGGATTTTTCTATTTATTTATTTTTAACCTTAAAATGGGCATGTAGGTACCTATAAAGGCTGAATCATTCCGTTTAAGAAGTGTTATTCATAACTTTGGTCATACCATACATCTCAAAAGGTGAGAGCTGTGGCTGAGAGTAAAAAGTGACAGAGGATAAAACCTCGCGCAAAAGTTAAAAATAGTTTTGAGGTCGGTTTCTTAATAGCGAGTCACCTCCGGGTTGTAGTTACAATGCAGTTATGCTTAATCCGGGGGTGACTTGCTATTGAGAATGCGGCCCTAACTTTTTTGCAATATCGCAAATAAAGTTGACATTTCCCCGCTGCGGTACAAAATTTGAAAACTCCGCCTCTAACAGTTTTCGGAGAAACAAATTATTTTGGTTTTTGTCATAAGAAGCAATGTGTTAGAAAGAGACCTTTCTGATTTTCCTTACAAAATAATTTTTTTCTCGGAAACAGAGATAAACCTATCGAAATTTGTATCATTGACATCAGCAAAACCAGAGCTTTCTAATGAGCTACAAATATATGTATAGGGTGTCTTATTGAAAAAAATCGAACCTTCATCAATATCACAAAATCGGGGCCAAATAGAATAAAACTGAGACGTCACTGAATTCTGTGTAAAAAAGTGCTTCTATAAAGGTTTCACAGTATTGCTCAAAATCAAGAATCGCCCTCTAGCGGCTAAACGATTGAAAAAATCAAAATACTGTTTGCACTAATCAATATCTCATGAAATTTGAGCCTCAGAGTGCAATGGTATTACTTGTATGACCTCAGAAAAAGTGGACGTGGAAGAAGACTCTTTTTAAGATACATTTTCTATTTTTTCCTATTTGCATAATAAACGTTCTGGCTTATTTTGTGTTAAAATTATGTCTCTAACGGCTAACGGTTTACCCCCAAAACTACAATAACACTTTATGTTATTCCTATAGGTACATTATACTAAAAACTTTTTTTTTATAGAAAATTTGATGTAAATTTATGCGTGACGGCATTCGCCCTGAAATGCTTGGTTTTAAAGTGTTATAAATGAATAAGTGAAGTTTTTAGAAAAATCCTCCTAATTAAATACTTTATATCTACGCCACTGAACAACTGAAAAAATGCTGTATACCCATTTGGTAGAAAATTTTCATCACTACTTGACATTTTTTCCTAAAATGCTTAGTTTTGGAGCAATTAAGAAAAAAGATAAAAAAGGTTAAAAAAGGTAAAAAAGGTAGATTTCACATTACTTAAGGGGTGGTTTTGGGGTGACGGGCTCAACGCCTCGGCGCTGGGGTTTTAGAGGGTATTTAGTGCCCTAAAACACAGTCTCGTACCAAATTTCAGTTTGTCTCCAATTTGTTGAACATCTGTACTGCTAAAAAAAACGCACATTTATTTCCCCAAAGTTTCAAGTTTACTAACTGTTGCCTTCAAACAATCTGCCAAATTTTCATGAGTTAACTTTTAAATTGTTAAACTATTTTTGCCTTTACCTTTATAATTTATTTAGTTTAGTTATATGTTAGGTCTGAAATAATGGAAATAAACTATACCTTAAATTATAGAAAATTAACAGCAGCCTGAATCAGGCTTGTGTACGTGCCTCCGACTGAAATATCAAATTTTGTAAAAAATTATTCAAGAAAAAATCAATTTTATCATTAGTTAGTAAACCTTCAACTACGACTACTTTTTGTACAACCCAACAATTTAATTTTAATTGGGAGTTTTGCTCCTGAAATCTACGAAATCGTAGGCACAGGATAAAACTCCCACCTTCCCAACAAATCCTAAATCTAAACGAACAAGGTGGAGCAAACAAGTGCATGGTCATTCTGGTCTTTACCTGGATGAACTTGAACAAATTCCTGTTAATGTTGGTATGCTCGATGCTCTGGGTATGTTCGTGGATCTATAAGAGGTTAAAAAGAGAAAAGACATGCCCAGGATTAGTAACTTTTTAGAGGGAGAATTTTCGAATATATTAAGTGTGATTTTATATTAAATATTTATTAGAAAATGCATGACTATTAATCATTACTGTATACCTAGTTGGATTTAACTTATGCATTTTAATGTGACACTCCAAACAACGCCATTAAAAATCTACTGATAGTTTTCTAAATGTTACTGAAGAGATTTAATAAGCAGATTTATACCTTAAAGCTGGACTAGCAGGCGATCTTAGACCACTAGGAGTTCTTGGTGTGGAGTTTGTACCATTCAAAGCTTTTCTTGCTGTAGAGGTAGTCGCTGAACTACGACCTGATGTTGTTGGGGTTCGTCTTGGTATTCTTGATGGTGTGTCATCTATACAAAAATATAAATCAAATTTAATAAATAAATAATAAATGTTTATTTTACGGACAAGCCATTTTACAATATATAAATGTTTATGTAGGTATGTATGTATTTCATAATTCAAATCACAGATATAAATTTATAATTAAAAAGGTAATAAGTAATCTTTACACATATCTAGTCATAAGATTACTATAATCTGTTAATCGTTAATAAAATGTACAATAATAAAAATATAGGTACGTTATAGTTATTTGTGTATGAAGGGAATTATGAGGGACCCCAGGGCAAAGTTTGCCCATGGGTATTAACACCTGATAATTCCCGTGGTACATAGATTATTTTATTTCCTACTGAATTTACTGTATTTTGTCCATTTTTATAAAGAAATAAACCATAAACCAAAATTTCTATTTTTTGTCAAAGTTTCACCTATTCAAGGTAAAAGCGGGAGTTATGGAAATCCTTAACTCCCGCGCGGGAGTTATGAAATCCTTAACTCCCTTGGGATTTAAGACTCTGTTTATGATTATCTCTCTGTTTATGATTATCGTAACCAAGTTCAGTAGGAAATAATAGTTATTTATGTATCAAGGGAATTATGAGGATGTTAATACCCAAGGGCAACGTTTGCGTCCCGAGGGCCTCTGGCCCGAGGGACATCAATTGCCCGTGGGTATTAACACCAGATAATTCCCGTGGTACATAGATAATTTTATATCCCACTGAATTTACTGTTTTCTGTCTATTTTTATAAAGGAATAAACCATAAATCAAAATTTCTATTTTTTGTCAAAGTTTTACCTATTCAAGGTAAAAGCGGGAGTCATGGAAATCCTTAACTCCCTTGGGAGTTATGATATCTTTAACTCCCGGGAGCGAGTTATCATACCTTTAACTCCCGGGAGGGAGTTATAGAAATCCTTAACTCCCTTGGGAGTTAAGACCCTGTTTATGATTATCGTAACCAAGGTATTATATGGTTGTTATAATAGTTCAGTAGGATATAAAATATTTTATTTCCTACTGAACTATTATAACCATATAATACCTTGGTTACGATAATCATAAACAGGGTCTTAACTCCCAAGGGAGTTAAAGGATTTCATAACTTCCGCTTTTACCTTGAATAGGTGAAACTTTGACAAAAAATAGAATTTTTGATTTATGGTTTATTCCTTTATAAAAATGGATAAAATACAGTGAATTCAGTAGGAAATAAAATTATCTATGTACCACGGGAATTATCAGGTGTTAATACCCACGGGCAATTAGTGTCCCTCGGGCCAAAGGCCCTCGGGACCCAAACTTTGCCCTGGGGTATTAACACCCTCATAATTCCCTTGATAGATAAATAACTATTATTTCCTACTGAACTATTAGAACCATATAATACCTTGGTTACGATAATCATAAATAGGGTCTTAACTGCCAAGGGAGTTAAGGATATCATAACTCCCAAGGGACTTAAGGATTTCCATAACTCCCGCTTTTACCTTGAATAGGTGAAACTTTGACAAAAAATAGAAATTTTGGTTTATGGTTTATTTCTTTATAAAAATGGACAAAATACAGTAAATTCAGTAGGAAATAAAATTATCTATGTACCACGGGAATTATCAGGTGTTAATACCCACGGGCAATAGGGAACTTGCAAGTGAACTAAAATTTTCCAAATTTGTTTTAAATCGATAGTTTATACTGCACAATATTTATATGACCAGTTTTTATTTAACTGATACCGCCCTTGTTACACAAAAAATAATACTAGATTTGAAATAAAAAATTTCCCGCCAAAACAATGCTTCTATGATGGCTACTTATTTGACGTCACGATTCTGTAAACAAACCTGTCAATAGGGCACTTGCAAGCGAAATAAAATTTACAAAAGCAGTCCTTTACAATATTCTTCATCAATTGCGACGATTTTCACAAAAAGCAAACTTTAACACACTTGAATAACACAAAAATAACACTGCGTCAGCAGGATTCGTTTGCTGCGTTTGTTGTTTACAAAATATTGACGTCACGAGCGCTGTCATATTGAAATTTTGCGTTTCCGCGACAAAGTTTTTGATTTGAATTTCAATAATTTTTTTTTTCGTACAACGTATAAATCAAAATTGAAAAAAAGAAAACTATGTAATATCTGATCACTAGAAGTATCTAAAAAAAAATAAATTGAGAAATATGAAAATTCCCTATTGGCACAAATTTTGCCTTGGGGTATTAACACCCTCATAATTCCCTTGATACATAAATAACTATTGTTCATAGGATAGGATATCAGACTGAAAAATTATAAATCACAGATCATACAATGCATAAAACTAAAAGGTTTACTAGAGTTGTAGTGATTTTATTTTCATTTTAAAATAGTTTAAAGAAATATTAAAGATATGAATGTTAGAATCCACTAAAACAGAATTTGAAAGCCTTAACATTCTAGATATGGGGGAATAATAACCATAGTTTGTTCGGTGATATTTAAAATAAAAATATCTATTACTACGAGTATTACTATTGCGTGGAACAATGAAACTAATTTGTGATAATATTTCAGGAGACTGTATGTACATACAATACCATTCACTATCTTAAAAATAATGCACAAGTCCTGCTGATTTCTTCTATGTTCAAGGGTTTGCAAGTTTATTAGTTTCAACAAGTCGTTCTATAGAATCATGGGAGATTCCAATTTTGAATGCAATGAATCGTAAAAATTTTCTCTCGATCTTTTCAATTTGATATTTGTCATTCTCATAGAAAGGGGACCAGATAGGACTTCCATACTTGAGGACTTGTCTAAAAATGTCAGAGTAGGTAAGCGTTTTTAAGTGTATAGATATTATTGAAGTCCTTCAGGTTACGAAGTACAAATCCCAATAATCTCATTGCTTTGTTTGAGATCCCTCAATATGTTCAATAAAGTTTAATTCAACATCTAAATATATTCCCAAATCACGAATGCAAGGAGCCCTATCAAGTTCTGTGTTATTAATGGAATAATCAAAAAATAAAGAATTTTTAGATCTGCCAAAGGATATTATTTTACATTTATTAATATTCAAACCAAGATGATTTTTATTACAACAATTTGAAAAATGATTGCATTCCTCCTGAAGGGTCAAACAGTCACTGATATTTTTAACACAGGTAAAGATTTTTTTATCGTCTGCAAAATTCAGAAATTTGCAGATTTTAAAAACAGTCTTCACATCATTTAAGAACAAATTGAATAGTAGTGGAGACAAATGCCCTCCCTGCGAAACACCCAAAGTTACACAAATGTCACTGGAAAGAGAATTTTCGATTTTTACTTTTTGAATTCTATCTGTAAGATTACTAACTAGTCATTTGTGAAAAATACCATGATTTCCCAGGGACGCAAGTTTTGCTTCCAAAATCTTGTGGGCAACCCTGTCAAATGCCTTGGAGTAGTCTGTGTAAATTACATCCACCGATGACCTTCCTCCAAGGCACCAAACAGGGTTTGCTCCAAGATTAACAGGTTTGAAACTGTGGATTTTTCCCTGACAAATCCATGTTGCTCTAGTATGATGATGTTCTTGAATAGAGGTGTGATCTTATCAGTAATAATTGCCTCAAAAACTTTTGAAGAAATTGATGTTTTAGCAACTGGTCTGTAATTCTCAATGTTACATTTGTCTCCACTTTTGAGTATTGGTGTAACATGACTTAGTTTCCAGCATCTTGGAAACACTCCAAGAGATAATGATTTATTATACAGTGTCATTACTTAAGTATGCAACATATGGGATTTTTTTTTTAGTAATAGCACAATCAAAATACAAACAAGGCCAAAAGTTGGTGCATGTCTGATAATCATATTAGGTGCACTTAGAATTGTTGCAAGTCAAACAGCATACAGGGTGGCTCAAAAAATATCAAAATTCTACTTATATTTACTTAAATAAAATAAAACTTTTGCACTTCAAGGAGAGTTTTCGTTGTTAGAATTATGATTATACAAAAACAAGTCAACCAGGTTCCAAAAGGCAATATGTGGCAATATTAAATTTGTTTTAAAAGCCTGAGAAAAAGCAAATGCCATTATCTACATAATAAAATGTATTATCAGTCGAAACTTATTTAAAGAAAAAGGGTCTGCTTTTATGACTTCTGGCTGGTACCTGGAAGGGTTTTTGTAAACAAGAGAAGTGGTGAATCACCCTATATGAAATGTATAATTTTGCCTGTAAAAATTATGTGAAAATTTAGTCTTAGAGAAACTGGTATCGAATACAGACATATTGAAATTAATCTAGCGTTTTATTTCCCATAAACCACTTAATGGAAAAATAATAGTACTCAATAGGTTATGGGCCCAGAATTCGCGAATAGCAAATAGTGGACTAAATACGTTCGTTTAATTTTGTGTTAATTATTTATCCTGTGCTGTGGGCACTCACATTAGTGCCACGAACGTGTGTTTTCTCTAAGTGTCGCTAAATCTCTATTATGGAGAAAACAAAACCGAGGAATGTTCAACCGTTTAACGGGGAAAAATACAGTATTTGGAAATTTCGTGTAAGGTTACTACTAGCGGAAGCACAAGTACTTTATGTAGTTGATGAGACGCCTCCTGCTGATCCCAATGATAGATGGAAAAGGCACGATGTGTATGCGAAAGGCATAATCACAGAATACTTCAGTGACTCATTCTTGAACTTCGTCAAAGATAAACCGACTGCTCGGGATGTATTTGCTGACATGGATGCAATTTATGAAAGGATAAGTTTAGCCACACAATTGGCATTACGTAAAAAACTTCTCAGCCTCAAGTTCCAAGGAGACCAGCATTTGCTACAACACTTTACAATTTTTGATGACATTATCACAGAATTACTAGCAGCGGGAGCTAAATTAGACGAGATGGACAAAATTTCTCATCGATCTTCTTCTAACAATGCCGTTTGCTTACGAGGGTGTAATCACTGCATTGGAGACTTTAGGAGAGGACAATTTGAA